AGGAGGAGGAGGGGGAGGAGGAGGAGGAGGAGGAGGGGAAATTGTTGAAGTGAAGAACAGCTACTGCTACGATAAAAACAAACAAACAAACAAACAAACAAATAAACAAACTTGAAAAGGCCTGTCCCACCAACCCTAGAACAGCCCTCAGGATGGCAACTCAGCTATCAGGGTGGGCTCTCCTTCTGCAGTTCTCCCAAACACTCCTCCCTCTCCCTCCCACCATGCCCCTTTTCCCAGCACACTCCTCCCCTTCATAGTTTCTCAGTCATTCCCACATCTTCCTCAGGAACAGTACAGGCCTCTCCTACTCTGCACTGAGGCCCACTAACGGTCCACAGAGGTGAACCCACCCCTCACCCACATCGAGTTCTAAAGCTCCACAGTCAAGAAGCCTGGAGAAATGTGTCTAGTCAGAGTACCAGGGGAGCCTCTTTTCCAGAGTCTGTGGAAATGACAGGTAAGGTGGGCTTTCTTCCTAAATAGAACATCAACAGGGAATCAAGGATTTACTCCAGAAATAGCAGGTTCATGAATCCTCCCAGACATCTATCAGGCTCAAATTTCTCTCCCTGGGGGGTTAGTTTCTCAAACTAAATAATAGCAGATCCTCCTTGGCTCCTGGCAAAGCTCTGAAGACTTTTTGCACATTGCTCCTCACTAAGTCCTCAGAATTCCATAAGCCTTACTATTGTCATCTTTACTGAAGAAGTAACTGAGGCACAGAGTGGGTAGGAAGCTGGTCCAAGGACATACAACTGGTGTGTGGCAGAGCCAGGGCTCTAAATTAAGCACCCTGGCTCTATACTTTGTGGCGGTGACCCGTCTGTCACCCAGCCTCCCAGAAGGGACAAGGCATGGACTTTCTAAAAAAGAACTAGAAGTTGGTTGTGGTGGTATACGCCTGCAATGCCAGTGCCCAAGAGCCAGAGGCAGGAGGATCACCACAAGTTTGAGGCCAGTGTCAGCTACATGTCAAGGCCATTATAATGAGGATTTTTTTTCTTTTTTAAAAAAATTATTTATTTAATAACCACATGATTATAAGAAGCATTTCATTACAGCATTAACATATTCAATAAAAATTTCAGAGCAAAGATGCATCTCTTTCAAAGTTGGTTGTAAAATTTTACGTTCACAGTTGAATTAATACAGTTATACAATATTGAACTCAGTATAAACCCTATAAGACATAAAATTGAATGAGGTTTTAACCTTTAAAAAAGATCTCCATTTCATTTTAAAATATACTCCTTCATACAGAAAAACTCATTTTTAATGCTCCCTAACACATAGAGGTTTGCACATGCTTCTTTAATCTCTATGTATCTGATTATTACTAGTCACAGTTGGTTACACTCGGATCCTTGGCACCTGAGTATGGATATAAAGCCATCAGGTAAATTTCGATGGTAATGTTTTTCACCTCTACTAATTAACATGAAGCATATTTTTCGCTTCCTCAAATATAACTCATTTGTTTTTATTTGTTGATTTTTAAAAATTATTTATTTAATAACCACATACTTTGAAGAAGGATTTCATTACAACAGCATTGACATATTCAATAACAATTTTCTGAGCTAAGATGCATCTTTTTCAAAATTGGCTGTAAATTTTTCAGTTTACAGTTGAATTAATACAGGTTACACAATATTGTACTCAGTATAAACCCTATAAGACATAAAATTAAATGAGGTTTTAACCTTTAAAAAAATCTCCATTTCATTATTAAAATGCAGTTTCATACAGAAAAATTCATTTTTAATGCAATTGACATTAAGATGTTTGCACATGCGTTTCTAATCTCTATATATCTGATTATTACTAGTGACAGTCGGTTATTTTCTGAGCTCCTTGGCATCTGAGCACGGATATAAAGTCATCAGGTAGATTTCAATGGTAATGTTTTGCACATCCACCAATTATTAAGGAGCAAATTTTTATGCTTTGAAGAATTATTTTTGTATCATTTTTTAAATTTTTAATAATTACATGACTAGAAGAAGCATTTCACTACAGCTTTAACATATTCAGTAACACACTCCAGAGCAAGAGTACATCTCTTTCACAAGTAGGTGCAAGTTTCTAGGTTCACAGTTGAGTTAATAGAGTTATACAGTATTGAACTCTGTGGGAAGCGAGCACAGCCGAGCCAGCCAAAGATGGAACCCTGGCTGGCTGCCAAACCTCGTGCTGTTTACTTCAACTCTTGGCTGATTGCCAAGGCTCGTGAATCCCGCTTGTTTACCCCAACTCTGAAGTATGGTGAGCCCAAAAACAGGTGCTGCCAGGCTGATGATCTTGCTACGTGGCTAATGAGCTGCACTCTGCCTGCCCGCTGCACGTGTGTGTGCCCTGATTGGCCCTGGCTAGAGGGAGGGCTGTTGGAAACGCTATATGAACAGCTGAGGTGTGTAATAGAACAGAACAGAAGACAACAGCAACAACGAAACAGCATCATAGTGAGAGAGGATGAAGTGAGAGATATAGGAGACCTACGAGCAGCAGCAGAGAGAGTGAGGCAGCAGCATCATAGTGTAGGAGATAATGAAAGAGAGAGAATAAAGGATGCAAGAGAAAAGAAGCTTGAACCTCGCCTGTGGTGTTCGTGTCGTTTTTCCTGGACTCTGCTGGACAGAGTCCCGGCCCGCGACAAATGGTGGCCCGTACGGGGACCCTGATGCTCGTGACAGAACTCAGTATAAGCCCCCTATAAGACATAAAATTGAATGAGTTTTTAAACCTTTAAAAAAGATCTCCATTTCATTTTAGAATATATTGTTCCTTGTAGAAAGACTCATTGTTTTTGCTACTAATACTGAGATGTTGGTGCATGCATCTCTGATCTGTATGTATCTGATTATTACTAGTCATAATCGGTTGCACTTGGATCCTTGGTACTGTGTATGTCTATAAAGTCATCGGGTAGATCAATGGTAATGTTTAGCACCTCTACTCATTAGCATGACATAAATTTCTATGCTTCCTCCTCAAATATAATACATTTTTAAAATTTTGTTTGTTTTTTTTGTGCGTGTATATATCAAACAGAACATCCCAAACTATCTTATTCAACTATATACCCACTTCCCAGATAGCACCCTCCCATAGCCTCCCTCCCCCCACTAGAGCCCTTATACTCTGATATCCCTGTTACTGTCTGCTGTGTTGTCGGCACCCCCAGACATTCCCCACTACTTGTACTTCTGTTGAATCTAGTCAGCCTATCCAGAGGTCTTTGTTTTAGGAGGGTCAGCTAAGCTCTTCTTCAACTAGCAGCAATCAGTTGCCAGTATTCCTACAGATAAGATTGGGGTCTGCTAAGGGGTCTAAGATTCATTTTCCCAGTTCTATGCTGGGTTACTGTCTGGGAGTCTCT